CTTTGTAACTGAAATGCTGCATTAAGAAACCTAATCAGGTCTTGACAGTTTAAGTTCACCTCAGTGGGTTTTAGACGACAAGCTTTAACGCTGTGTCARTAACGAAGCTTATTTCGGCCAGGGAACGAAGCTGACAGTTCTTGGTGAGTAAAACTTTATTCTCATGAATTCAGCTCTTAAACACTAAAGCAAAATAAAGCAGACATGTTTTGGTGAAAAACACTTAGTTTTGCACTCAACTTGTAAAAACCAGAATGTAGTGCCATGATGGTTTTTTTTAAAGTGCATGCAACATGTTGGTTAGATTTACTACTAAATTGAATATAAAGAAACAAAGTAAAAGTAGCACACTGTGCTGTTATCAGCACTGATAAAGTTCACTGTGACACTGGTTCACAGGCTTATTTTGGTGGAGGAACAAAGTTAACTGTTCTAGGTAAGAAAACAATGTAATGTAAGATTTTACTTTGTTCAGATGTTTGTGAAACTGTAATTTTACTCACTTAAGGCTTGACTTACAATCAGTCATATAATCATGATTGAACCATGATTGTGGCTGTTAATGGGCTCCATATGGTGATAAAGTCACTAAATATTATTTATGTTCAAAAGCTGAAAATGGATGGATAGAGGAAGATTTAGTTTGTAGTATATTAAAAGTAGTATATCACATTCATATCTTACAGTTTTTACACACTGAGTGAAAAAGTGGGAATAATTTCAAAGTGACATTGGTAAAGAGGCAAGAGGAAGAGGTTTTGTCACAGTTGAACATCTCTGTGCTCATACACCGAGGCTTACTTTGGATCTGGAACTAAACTCACTGTCTTAGGTAAGAAAACCTGCAAAGATTAAAACTCACAGTGCAGGATGCTCTTATTGGCATGTCAACATTATAGTCGATGAATAGAAGATACTCCTTGATCATTTCATTGTTTCATTGATGTCTGTGAACTCATTTAGATGTGACAAAGGTTAATTCAGAATTTAATTTATGCCTGGTAGAAAAGACTTGTCTGTGTTCATAAGAGTAGTGCGGGAATAAAACATTTGGCTCTATGCCCAGAATATTACTGTCACAGCGAGTTCTTATCAGCTCTGTGAAATACTGTGAGTTCCCAGTCTGAGGCTTACTTTGGAGCTGGAACTAAACTCACTGTTTTAGGTAAGATTTCTTTATAATTACATGAAATAGCCTAAAATGTCAAAACATTAAATGAAAATGTATTTTCTGTCACTTTTCCTACCAGTTTAGTTGCATTGTTTCATCTCAGGCTCTTAAAGGAAAAAAGTTAAAAATTGTGAAGAGCAAATTTATTTTGGTAATAGTATGTATTCAAGTGGGTACACAGTAAAACGTTTTAGTTTATCTGATAAAAGAGCACAAAAACAGTCTGCAGCTTACAGTGCAGAAGGGTGAGCAGTTTTTTCTGTAGCCATGTATCAGTGTGAACAACAACTACCCAGCTTACTTTGGCAGCGGCACTAAACTGACAGTGTTAGGTAAGAAAAAAAATCTAAATCATAAATGCAAGTGTTTGTTTTGTGAGCGTAATTTAGCCTAAGTGTGCAAAATGATTGTTGAGGAAATGTGTCAATGTTTTATTTAGTGAGTTTGGGTTTGTCGTAAAAAATTGCAGAATAATGTAAAATCTATGCGAGATATGTCGAGTAAAAATACTGTACTGGGTTAACATACCAATCTTTGTTGTAAATTAACTGTTATTCCCCATTATTCAGTACAGTTCGTGGTTTATAGCTAAGACGTTTGGCATTTACACTATAATTATTATAGACCATGATATTTGTAAAACAAAGTAAAATTGAGTGTTTTGTTTAGTCACATTAATCAAGACATGAAAAAAGAAAGTTTAAAAAACATATCAAGTGAATTAATCATTAGGATGATGCTAATTTCTGAATAGATTTACATATAAAATGTTTTAAAAATACACACAAATGCAGTAATTAAACATGTAAGAGGTTCAAACATTGGAGGTAGTTTGTTATGTTGTGTTTCCTCTATGTTCTGGTATTTTATCTTCTGTTTTAGAGTTTGGTGTTGTACGTTGGTTTGTTGTAGATCTATGTTTGATCCTTAATTGAATCAATTTATTTCTTTATCTTTGCAGAACCAGGGCAGGCAGTCAAGTCACCAATAGTGAAAGTGTTCAGACCATCATCAAAAGAGTGTCGAAACCCGATAGACAATGAAAGAGAGAAGACCTTAGTTTGTGTGGCCAGTGATTTCTACCCGGACCATGTCAGTGTTTACTGGCAGATTATTCAACTGAATGTCACCAGTGGTGTGAATGTCACCAGAGGTGTGACAACAGACGAAGCTGCCCTGCGGAAGGACAAAGTCTACACAATCACCAGCAGACTGAAGGTCTCTGCCGAAGACTGGTACAAACCCGAGTGGAATTTTGAGTGCATCGTCCGCTTCTTCAATGGGACACATGATACTTATCATAAGGACTCAATCTCTGGTGAACAAGGTTCGTTCATGACCTAAACCTGATCTGGACAAACATGTAAATAATCTTCTGTTCTTGTCTAATCCGTTTCTTATTTTTCTACCAGGTCCAGACATCCTGACCAGAGGTAAATAAATGATTCTGTTATTCATTGTTCACCTCACTGCTGCTCACATCAACTGTTTCTACAAAGTACCCTGGATGTTTCCTCTTTGAATCACGTATCTAAATGTTTGACCTTTCTTCAGAAAAATATCTGAGGATCACTCGTCAAGCCAAACTCTCCTACAGCGTGTTGATCATCAAGAGCAGCGTCTACGGAGCCTTCGTGGCCTTTTTGGTTTGGAGACTCCAGGTTTGTTAAATATAACATTTCTGATTGACTGACAAAAAAATGGTTCCATATGTGTAAGTATGTAAATGAAGACATCTCATAGGAAACTGTTTCCTTTGTGTCTGTTGCAGAGTTCAACTGAAAAGCAGAACTGAGACCTGAGCGGAGAGGAAAATTAACTTTGACTTAATGTAAATAAAACTGAAAACATAGTGGCTATATTTCTATAAAGCTGAATGTTGCAGTGTATTTTTACTCATTTATAAATTAGCTATTGAAATTCTGCACAAAGTAGTGAACAGGTTCTCTGCTTATTCTAATCAAAAACTTAAATCTATGACTGGCATGCAGATAGTTTGGCATCAGGGTTTTTATTTTTCTGCGTATTTGTTTTTGGTAGTGAATTAATTGTTTGCTTATTTTTTTTTGTCAATAAAAGTTTTTTCAGGGGATCAAATCAATAATGTGCCTTTATTTCTCTGTAAGAGATTGTCCGTTAAACCACTTTTTCTGTCGCACCTCATTCTACAATGAGCACTGGAAATATCATTTCCGGAGATAGTGTGAGGTATTTTTAGCAGCTCACAAACCAGCCTGTTTTCTGAGAATCACCTATTTTTCACCTACACATGTTGAAACAGCTCAGTTCTAGAAAACGTCACAAGCTGGTTCAGGTTTTTCCAATGAGGAAACTGAGAAATGATTCAACAGTGACTTTTTAAAAGATTGTTYTTGGCTGTTGAGCCTTTAGGTCGGGGAAATAGTTTGGAGGACAAGCAGCAAAGGGCCGGGTCAGAACCAAAGCTGCAGCTGCTGCAGGAGAACTGAAGACTGAGCTGTTGTTAACTGTTGTTAAATCATTTGATCTTAAGGGTTTGTGTTAGTCATATCTACTTTTTGGACTTTGTACAATCATCAGCAGTGTAGTACAGAAAAGTAAATGTGAAGAGTGTGAGTCTAGCACACAACAACAGGAAGTCGTCGTTCTCCTCTGAGCACAAAAGAAGGACACAGCTTTTGTTGGTGAGAAGACAAACCGGGGATTGAAACTGCGCAGAGGAGTCGAGAGCGACAGCAGAACAGAGGATGTGGTCACGGAGCAGCCTGCAGATCGTTCTCTGTGCTGAGAAATGACAGAGCTGCAACATCTCACTTCACCACAACTTCCGGCTCTGAGCGTGCACCTGTTCTCTGCACGTACCCACTCTGCACATCTCTGAGCAAACAGCTGGAAAACCTCCACGTCTGTGTCAACTGAAGCTACACAACCAACCAGCATGAGTTGTATTACACACAGCTGTTCACATTAGAAGGGGTTATGTT